ATCATTGTATTTGTGACCATAAATTAAAAGAAAAATCTTCTTACTTTCAAAGTAGAAATTGAAACTCAAGTGGAGAGGTTCATCACAATTGTATAGTGCTCGCATAATCTATCAAGCTACTCTTAACATCTATTTGCTATTTCCAGTGTCAATTTTTTTAATGATTGTGCTGCCCGGACCATCTTGTGTATATCTCCACTAATTTCACGAGGTACGTTCTATATTATCACACGTACCACTTTGTCCACCAAGGCTTGAATAAATGAGAAGAAATCACTTTAGTATTTTTACTTCAACAAGAATTTAAATCTGAGATCTTATGGTTCTCAATCCAATTCATTGACTATTATGCCTCGGACTTAGTTGTTTTTTGCTATTTCCAATTTGATTTGCATGTGTTTGTGTACAAAGTGATATAGGTCTACCCGTTTCAACTGTTAAATACTTTTTTTCTTTTTCAATTTTAATTTTGATTTTTTTTCGGTTAGCCAAATATTATCCAAACGACATCATACATAAGCTCAACTCTTTTTCTTTTTTTTTTTGAATTTTATGTTATTTACTTAATAACTCTTTAAATGAACAAATACTTTGGAATTCAAAAGAAAAATAAAATGAAAAGAAAATAATTTGGGTTTGGCAACAACCGACCTACTAATAATATAGTCAAGCATCCTGTCCAAGTAAATAACATGTCAGGCAGGTATATGGTCAGCGGTCCAATCGCTTGTTCCCCAAGTCTAAGCTGCTTTAGCCCTTTATATAAACCTTTTTTCTTGCGTTTTCCTCTCTTACCCTCATCCTTCTCTCTCTCTCTCAACTCGAGGGAAAATCTCAATACAGCCGAAGTAGCCGAGTCCGGAGAATCACCAGAACAAATCTAAAGAATATCAAAACCTGTGTTTTGATCCGGTTTTCTCGAATCAGGTATTTAATGATTTCTTCATTACTTAGGGCTTGAAAAAAAAACAAATTAGGGCTTGAAATTGTACCTCTATAGTTTTCAGAAGTTCCTTATTAAGTTTTAGTTTTCTGAATTGAAATTGTTCAAAGTACGATTTGTATTCATTTTCTGCTATCCTTTTCTATATATTTCAGTTGAATCGATTTAATTTGGGCCGTAGCAATCTGCCGTTGGATAGGGATATTGGTTATTTCCAAATTTTAAGTCAGAATATGAGCCTTTCATCTGCACAGAACAATAGACGGAATAACAACAGTAATCGGCCTGGAAACAATCCTGTTCAAAGTGCTCGACGTGAGTGGGTACCTCGGGGATCCACGGCCACCACCACTGTTTCAGCTGCCCCTGTCACCACCACGGTAGCTACCACTGTTGTGAGCCCTGCGTTCAATCTTAATGGTTCAAGCTCAGCTGGAAATGGAAGAGAAAAGGATAATGTGTCAGTTGCACCCGTTCATCGTCGAAATCAGACATATCTAGGACCCAATCTCAACAAGGGACCCACATATGCGAGGAGAGAGAGGGGAAGGGGCAGGGAGAACCATAATTATCAGGAGAACAGGGTGGAGAGGGCGGTCAATGGGAGGATTAATCAGGGCGAACACAAACGGTTGAAGGACCCTAATTTGCCTCAACTTGTGCAAGAAATTCAGGAGAAGCTGTTGAAGGGAAACATTGAGTGCATGATTTGCTATGATATGGTGCGGAGGTCTGCCCCTGTTTGGTCATGTTCGAGCTGTTACTCCATTTTCCATCTTAATTGTATCAAAAAATGGGCCAGAGCTCCCACTTCTGTTGACACATCTGCGGAGAAGAATCAGGGATTTAATTGGCGCTGTCCAGGCTGTCAATCAGTGCAGCTCACTTCATCCAAGGAGATCCGATATATTTGCTTTTGTGGGAAGAGGCCAGATCCTCCTTCAGATTTGTACTTGACCCCACATTCATGTGGAGAGCCCTGTGGCAAGAAACTTGAGAAGGAGCTTCCAGGGCATGATCTGAGTGAAGAGGATCTGTGCCCTCACGTTTGTGTCCTACAATGCCATCCTGGTCCTTGTCCACCTTGTAAGGCATTTGCTCCAGCTAGAAGTTGCCCCTGCGGGAAGGAAGTAATTACCACTCGGTGCTCTGATCGCAAGTCCGTTCTTACCTGCGGACAGCAGTGTGGTAAGCTTCTTGACTGCGGGCGTCATCGTTGTGAACAGACTTGCCATGTTGGTCCTTGTGGCCATTGTCAAGTTATTGTGAATGCCTATTGCTTCTGTAAGAAGAAAACAGAGGTTGTTCTTTGTGGAGACATGGGTGTGAAAGGAGATATCAAGATCGAGGATGGCGTCTTTTCATGCAGTTCAGCTTGTGGAAGGAAGCTTAGCTGTGGAAACCACGTCTGTCTTGAGCTCTGCCATCCAGGGCCATGTGGGGATTGTGCCTTGTTGCCAAGCAAGGTCAAGACATGCTGCTGCGGTAAAAGCAGCTTGGAAGACGAAAGACACAGTTGTTTAGATCCAATTCCAACCTGTTCCAAGGTCTGTGGTAAAAGCCTCAGGTGTGGGGTACATCGCTGTCAGGCGGTGTGTCATTCTGGTGATTGTGCACCATGTCTTGTTCCTGTCACTCAAAGATGCCGCTGTGGGTCAACTTCTCGAACAGTGGAGTGTTACAAAACTCAGGCAGAAGATGAGAAGTTCACTTGTGATAGACCTTGCGGGCAAAAGAAGAATTGTGGAAGGCACCGTTGCAGTGAGCGATGTTGCCCTCTTTCTAATCCAAAAAATTCCGTCACAGGTGGTTGGAATCCTCATTTTTGTTCAATGCCATGTGAGAAGAAGCTTAGATGTGGGCAGCATTCTTGCGAGTCACTTTGTCACAGTGGTCACTGCCCTCCCTGCCTTGAGACAATTTTCACCGATTTGACTTGTGCTTGTGGGAGAACGTCAATCCCTCCTCCGCTACCTTGTGGAACACCTTCTCCGTCGTGTCAGTTACCATGCTCGGTTCCTCAGCCTTGTGGTCATCCACCTACTCACAGCTGCCATTTTGGAGACTGTCTGCCATGTGCTGTTCCTGTAGCAAAGGAATGTGTGGGTGGACATGTAATTTTGAGGAATATACCTTGCGGATCAAAAGACATCAGATGTAACAAGCTTTGCGGGAAGACCAGGCAGTGTGGCTTGCATGCATGTGCTAGAACTTGTCATTCTTCACCATGTGATTTTTCTGCTGGCCCCAGCAACGGCTCCAGAGCCTCTTGTGGGCAGACATGTGGTGCTCCTAGAAGAGATTGCAGGCACACATGTACTGCTCTTTGTCACCCCTCTTCGCCATGTCCTGATGTGAGATGTGAGTTTCCTGTTACTATTACTTGTTCTTGTGGCCGGGTCACAGCAAATGTTCCTTGTGATGCTGGAGGTCAGATCGTTGACTCTGTTTTTGAAGCTTCTATAATCCACAAGTTGCCTTCACCTCT